TCAGCTGAAGGCTGCTGCATGAACTATCACTGTACAGCTGTATGTGCGAGATAACCGCGTCATCCTGCTAAAGTTACATAGTGCGAATAGGCGACAGAGGCCCTCTGTGGACGTGGAATAGACGTCAGTTATTGTACTATTAGATCGACTTTCAAACAACTATTTTAGAGGTGGAACAGTAACAAGAAGATTTCATTACCACTGCTGCTTTTAAAGTTAGCCCAAGCTATGCTAAGTCTTAGCAAATGCTAATGCTGGGCTAATGTATCAGGCATTCGCTTTTGTTTTCCTGGCTAATGCTAATGCACCAAGAGGGGAAAAGTGAAAGAGAAAGGGGAGTAGAGGATGGAAGAAATGAAGCAATCTGAGCCTGCAGCTGCAACAGGAGGACAGAAACATGATAAGAGATCAGACACGGCGGGGGGGGGGAACAAAAGCAGAGAAGAAGAGAGAAAGCGGTGATAAGGACGGACGTGAGAACAAGCAGAATGTCAGTGAGAATAAGTCGGGACGTAGCTGTCTGTCTTCGCTCTCTCACTTCACGATTGAAAGAGAAACGAGGCTCTACAGCGAAACCCATCATGCATGCACGCTCGTACCTGTCCCGCATGAAAAGGACACAGCTTCTTTTAAGAAACGCTACGATGCTCCCTTATTGTTACCAGAAAAACCCTGTCTGTGCGTTCCAGTAAGAATGTTGCGAGACAGGATTAAGTTGTAATTCAATTTAGGGAGATTAAATTCTGTCACTTTCAGCCAGAAAAAAAAAGAAAAAGCCCTTGAAGGGAGACGCCAGCAGCAGAAAGTGGGTTATGCAGCTCAGAAGTTTCCTTTTTGTGCTCCAAACACAAAACATGAGCACACACAGATTAGAGCATGGAGTGGATACGATGACACAGAAGGCATCCGAATCTGGGAGCTATTTCATCTAATTTTAAATTAAACAGGATGCCATCCTATAAAAAAAATTCTAAGCTAAATGCTAAGCTAAGCCTGTGAGGATGCACACTCACTCTTGTTGTTTTTCTAAACTGGTTCAGATCTTCATGTTATTTCTCTTTGTTTAATACAAAGGATGACTGAAGCTTCTGACAACTGTAGCAACATTGTGGCTGCTGCTCTGATTGACAGATTACCCCCCACCCTCCCCCCTCCCATCACCACCACACACAAACAGACACACACAGTCACAGAAAAGCACACACACACACGCCGAGCCTGTCAAGTTGACGTGGACCCTGTGTCACCCGATGCATTAACTGGGGAAAAAAGGCTACAGCTCAATACTTACATCGTCCAGCGCAGAGCCTCTGAGAGAGAGAGAGAGAGAGAGAACGAAGGGGACGTAGGAGAGAGATGGAGGGGGATGAGGCTGAGGAATAGATGGCTACAGGCAGAGAAAAATAAATTAAGAGAGGAGAGAGAGTGGAACAGGTGGAGGTAGAGCAGATGGATCTGGACACTTTAGAAATGAGCCCGGAGAAAGAAGCATTTACAGTACAGCGTGTTGATAAGAATGCTAAAGCTCTGAGATGTCATTCCCACTCACAGATACAAGATGGTGTCTCACTTTCTATCTCAATCCCTCTTTTCTCTTTCTTTTCCTGGAGTTACCTTGCTGTCTCTCCCCGAATGAGTCCCATATCTCTTTCTTTGTGTGTGTGTGTGTGTGTGTGTGTTAACTGCCGATATTGGCTTTTGAGAGTTGTTTTCCCCCTCACTTTTCACCTCTCCCCTCTGATCTTTTATCGCCGCACACAGACGTAAACTCACCTGCGAGTTTGGTTTCAATAACGGAGAACGGATTATTACACGCGCCAGCTAACCTTTCCAAATACAATCCCCGCACGCACATTTCGTTTATCGATCCCAGCAATTTTGAGCTCCTCTCGCGCGGACTTCCTTTGAGTTTGTGGCGCGCTCTTAAATCATTTCATCTCATCAGTGTGTGTTCGTGTGTGTGTTTGGTCAGCAAATCTCATTTATCACCATTGCTCAGGTCCCCTCACTGCCATTGTGTTTTGCAGCAATATGGACGATCACAGAGGAGAGGAAGCCCCCCCCCCCCCCACCCCTTCATCTTTGCCGAGCCAACGATCCATAAAGCAATATTGGAGTTTATGAGCTCTCAATGTTGTCCAATATAGGGGCAGATTCAACTATGCAATAGTCCATTGGCTTTTCTTTTTCTTTTTTCTGATGAGGAACACTTAAACTTGGTCTTGGGAGGAAACGCGGCTTCTCCTACGTTCTCCTGTTAGCTGTAGCATTAGCTGCACATAACGCTTGGTTCTAGCCCCCCTCGAAATTTTTTTACCAGTGTGACGTCTTGTCAGTGTAAGATCACTGATCTAAGCCCATTGGCTCGTTGTGGCAAGCCCAGCAGCTCATGTTGCACGCCCGTTAACTTCTGTAGCACGCCCACGATATGCCGTAGCCTGCAGTAGCACAGTAGTGCTAAGGTGCTAATGTTTTTGCTGCTCCCCTCCGAGGCAAAGTGGCTGCATTCCCAATATGGTAAAAGGGGCGGGACATTTCCGAGAACCGTGCTGAGCTACTGACCAATTACGGCAGAGCCGACAGGCCGACCAATCAGATCAGACTTACACGTGGGGACTCTGAACGTGGGCACTTCAGAGCCTTAGAGACAGAGTCAGAAGCGAGCCGGTGCATGGAGCGGCAGTACATGAAAACAGACACTTTTTAAGAACTTTAGCTATTGTGAACATACTTTAGTAAGTACATAGATTAAATATATGAACCCCAAAAAGGGCATCATATGAGCTCTTTAAAACCAACATCACTATGTTAGACTCTCAAAGCCACTGGGGGACTTTCTTTTTCATTCTTTTATCTGAACCTCGAGGGCTCATGAAATAGATTCCCGCTAATGCGTGATGTTCATGGTTCATTTCTAACAAAGGGAGTTTGCACAGCCAGAGAGCGCTGAGTTTCCAGTTTGACATTGGACAAATAGTTCGAGAAAACAAACAGAGCTGCTGAAAAACATGCTGAAGCACCCATACATACGTCTCTGTGCTTGTTTGTGTTTTCATCACAACAATGAGAACACTTGAGTTACGTGCTGTAGTGTTTACAGCGATTCACACAGTCGGATGAACTCGACGTAAAGTGTGCAGAACATTGGCTCCTTCTCAGAATCTGTACCAAATAACCCCATGTAATTATTTGTCCGAGCAACAGTGAACTGCAGAGCCGTTGTGATACGCGTTGTAGTGGTTAATACAAATATGCAGGTTCAAAACAAAAATCTTAATGTATTTCTATTTAAACGTGCAGTATGTACATTCTGCCACCAGGGGGCTCTAAATCAAAACAGTCACAAAAGATGACGTCAAGGCTGGCGGGGAATCACGGGAGTGATTCTCTCTGTTTACCCCGCCCTGATGAAAATGAACTCCGAGTTGACCGTTGTCAAGACGACCGGGCGAAACAGACCTGAGGAAGAGAAAATGTTTACAGACGAGCTAATGTATCCGAGTATAAACAACATGACTTCTTTTATCGCAGCAGCACTTACAGCAACAGCACGGCAGCTTTTTTATGCAGTCTTTGACGTAACATCAGGTGTTTCCACGGCAACGATGCCCCCTCATAAGACACGTCCCGTTACAACTATAACCATTACGAATTTCTCTGGCTTTGATAACTGTTGGAAATATTTGAGGTAATGTAAGTACTCAACAACAAAATGTGAGGGACTTTCAGTTTCATCAAGTCTCACTCCAACTCTGTTCTACACATATACACACTTACACACACGTCAAGAACACACAAAGCTCCAGTCGAGCATGTGGTAACATGGCGATGGTGCCAGCCGAGCGGAGCAGATGGTAGCAGGACTGTGGCTGGGGAGCCTGACTGACTGACTGGTGGCGGTAGAAAGGCTGGCAGGGACGGAATGAAAGTTTAATGGGTGGAAATGGGAGGAACTAATTACAGTGGGAGTCCCGGCATTGGTCGATAGCATTTATCATCAGCGCTGTAGATAAATACCATTATTTACAGGATCTATATGTTGCAACGATTGGTTTGACGACATCAGAGAGTAAATATCCATCATTTTGAGATGTGTAAAGAAAGCATTTTACTGCAGGGTTACATGACTGCTTTGACAAGTGTAGCCAAGTTTACATGTGCTCCTGTTGTCGGTGTCGTTTTCAGATGTTTGCCAGAGGGTGTTCAAAGCTATCAGAGAAGTGTGACAGCCATGTGCGTTTGTGTGTTTCTTGCTTGTGTTTCCGAAAAAAACAAAAAAAAAACAACAGAGTGCCTAATTGCCCGGCCTTCCCACGCTCCGATAGAGCTGTTTCTACTCGCCATAATAACTTCAAAGTCTTGTAATCTTGTCAGCTGAGTCTCCAAGTGAAAGCCTCTGCAAAGGTCAACCAATGCAATTTGAATATCTTTGATTAAACGGTGTGCTGGTGCCAGGCCCAGACTGTAGGTCACTGCCTCGGAGAAATGATATCCAACCCCTCCTAACCCCACTTGTCCGTCCCCGAGTCTCGACTCTGGCTGCTCCCTCATTGTCGAGGGTCACGTCTGGCACTCTCCGCTCTCTTTTTAGCAATTTGCGTAATCTCCCAGACCCTTTCTTCCTCTCTGTCCTTCAATCCTTCCTCATGCTCACACAGTGCATAGTTTTAGCCCTGAAAGCCCCCAATCCTGAATGTCTTCCCTGACCCTCTTTCTCTCATTCTCCATTCATTATCTCGCTTATTCTAACATTTTCAGACCGTCGTCATACAGCAGTCATTGGAGCATGCATTCACAGTCTGCTGTGGAAGTAAAGACGTCAGTGACTGCAGTCAAAAATCTGAGTTTTGCTGGCAAAAGAACTCCAGGGAAAAGTGATGTATCATTTTTGAACTCACTTTCAGCTGAAATGGTTTAGCTGGTTTTCTGACCTTTACTACGTATTAAGCAGCTACAGTATGGTAGCCCTCTGTGTGTGATCAAGTTGGCATTTAAGGATAATGAGTATCCTGAATTAATGACCAGCAATCATTAATTATACTCTTTCAAAGCTTGTTCCTTGAATTATTATCCCTTCCTTGTTCACTTTCTTAGAAAATCTGGCTCCTTTTGTGGTTTGTACTCGACTTGTTGAACGTGCCTCTCTAAGTGTTTCTCTTTTTTTTTTTTGTCTCCAGTTTGTTCCGGCACCGACAACAAGCTGAGCACTCCGTCCGACCTGGACCAGCAGTACCGATCCCTGAAGAAGCTCTACGAGAACTGCGAAGTGGTCATGGGCAACCTGGAGATCACCAGCATCGATCGGAACCGCAACCTCTCCTTCCTCAAGGTACGAACCACTTCTGTTTTTCTTTCTCCCACATCCTGTATGTTGAGTCCCCGACGATTTAGATCATGGATTTCAGTCATTTTAAGCTCAAGCATCAAACGTTACTGCATTTCTTTGTGTTTCATAATGGTTGAATGAATGGTCTTTGGTGTTAGACAAAAAGACACTGAATAGACTAAATAATTCATAAATGAGTTCTTATAACAGCAGGCAGAGATTTGGATATCTAATCTGTAACTGCAGACATAAGCCTTACACAGATCCAGTGAAAGACTGCATGTTTACTGGGGGCGGGAGTAGTTTGGTTTTGGGTAAGAGTCTGGAAATTTGTCTGATAGCTGAATAGGTGCCAGTTCACTTCCTGAGCACTGCTGAGGCGCCCTTGAGCAAGGCACCAATTCCCCCCAATCAGCTCAGGAGCGGTCGCAGTGGCCATCTCTCCATTAGTTCATGTGCATAGGATCCTGATCGTGGGATTTATAAAGTAGATCTACTTTCTTTCCTCTTGTTGGGAAGGAAGGTATTCTGTTTCAGGACCACGGACAGAGATTTGGTTTCAGACACATTGTAATGTTAAGTTGAAGTTAAACTTAAACTCTGAAAGCTATGTTGAGTATAAACTAAGGGTTTAGAAACTCAATATCAGATTTTTGCTGTTTGTACTATTTAAAAAAAAAAACACATTGCATCACAGGATAACAACAAAGGGAGTTTATCCCATGGACAATACTTGTTTAATTCTTCATGTTATTGTTTGTACCACTGATTGTCAATCAACCCATGCTTTGAATGTTACACATTTTGAAATGAGCCAATTGAACCTGTTTCCTGGTTTAAATAACCGTTTAAAGAGCACTGTGAGGAAAGGTTGTTTAAGAACTAGTTTTCAGCACCATGAATAGAGACAAATAAGCTGTACGCAAAACCACTGTGCTGTTCCCTCATTCATTACTACCTACACAACAGACACTCAGTAGTACTCCACAGTGAGCACTAAATTGACATTTCAGACACTTATGAATCATCACAGTTTTTCATCAGCCCCGCCGAGCATATTGTTGCACATTATTGTTAACAAAAAAGAAGTGCATGTAATGTTTTCAGTACTCTCCTTTTCATTGCAGTGTGGGATTGTTTTGGCACTGTGTGGCGCATAAATTTAGTTCACAGAATAAAAGTAATTACAGAGGACTTAAGGGGAATTGATTAAGATGCAGTTAAAGGAGTTTGAAATGTAGCATCAGGGAGACAGTGGTGTCATTTCAGCACCACGGACAGAGACATTACATGAAACAGTGGCAGTTTGGACATTTCAGTACCATGGACAGAGACAGAAGGGGAAATAGCATACTGAAATGTTTCTTTGGCTCAGCCCCAATCAACCCTTAGCCCTACCTCATAGCCCTACCTCGATGTTTTACATGTTCAATGGGTTTGTGACAGTAATAAGGCCAATTTAACACAATCAAAATGGCTCTGAAAACTAGTGACATGCCATGGGAATTTCAAGGTGTAAGAATATATTACAGATGATGATATGGAAGGATGCTTCCAGTTTGGATTGCTGTTTAAACATTTTTAAATGGATTGTTACGCCCCTACTTACTTAACCCTTTAAGAGAATGAAAACCTCCTTACACCTACTTTAGTTTGTTACACACAGCTTAATGGACAAGGTGACTCTTTCAGTAAACCCTCAAAAGTCCAATTAGTCCATTAACAGTTCAGAATGTGCATCCAAGGCCAGCTCATTTCGCTGGATCCCTTATCTGGAGGGTGTCACAATATGTAACCGGTGTTGAGTTCAGCTTGTAATGCACTGCGAAAGGACTCATGGATATTGATTGAAGGCCCTTTGCCAGCACAATACAATGCAGTACAACAGAACAATGGGACTAATGATAAGAGGCACTAGTGAGAATTATTATGGAAGGAATGTCTGTGAGACACTGTGGCTAGATGAGAAGCACTCTGAATGTAAAGTGCCATCGCAGTTCCTCCCTTATAGAGCGCTCTCTAGGGTCTGTAGACATTTCTGTGTGTGTGTGTGTGTGTGTGTGTGTGTGTGTGTGTGTGTGTGTGTGTGTGTTTGGAGCGTGTGTTCTCAGGATTGTGTTTGTGCTATTCCATGTGCATATACTGTTCGTGCCACTGGGCCCCCATACCTACCCTCCTTCCCCCCCCTGCTGTTTAATGAAGTGAGGTGTGGTCTAATTACCGGGCCAGTGCTATCAAATGAACACCATAAACAGTCCCATTAGACGCAGCATCGTCAGGGAAAACAATTAGGCATCTGGGGGATTGTTAAGTGGATGTGAGGGGGGGGTCAGTAACCGGGGAGGTGGAGGGGGGGGGCTTTCATATGCTTGCAGTAGGAGGTTTTTAGTTATGAAGTTATCAACCATATTCACACAGCAACCATTTTCCTTTGACGTCACACATTTACGATAGGATTCTTAAACACTGTTGTGATGTCATGAGGCTGTGTTTTCAGGGTCTGACTTGTGTTTTTTTGAGACACCTTCCTTTTTCTTCAGTCACTGTTGAATGTCTTTAAAGCAGCACAGAGGGTGGGTCATGCCAAGTTCAATGTCATACCACCATGCACTTCAACAGATACACTTCACACAGACTCATAGATTCTGAGCTGCAGGGAAGCTGATAACGGCTAAGGAGAAGTGATGCAGTCGGACTGCGTATGCTCTTTTTTACAGCAGCAGCCTGGGAGGTACATGTGGACAAATGTGTGGACAGAGCTGGATTTACTGAAGGCGTCGGGGAAGATGGAAAGGAGGGACGAGTGAGAAAGTGAGAGAAGAGCTGGAGGGATTCTCACTTTTATGGCAGGCAAAAACAGCTGCCGTGCTAAAATGACAACGTTCAGCTACTGTGCCACAGGGGTGTGTGTGTTTTTTTGTCTGTGCATATCTCTGTGTGTTTGTGCGTGTACTGGAGGAGGGGAAGCGGGGTTAGAGGGGCAGAAATGTAGAGCAGGGGAGGGGATGAACTTGATGATTTTTGCCTGGTGAGATGCTGACAGTTAGATGGATGAGATGGCTCTGCAGTCTCCTCCATCCTCCAACTTCCTTCCAAACCACATCGCTCTGATGTTCCCCGTTCTCTCTGCCTCGCTTCAGCCGGAGTGAAACAGGACCAGAGATGTGATCGTGGTAGTGTTATTGTGCAGGTTTTATCACATCAGGGTCACTTTGTATTCATAGATAAATGTATGCTTAATCCAGCTTAGAGGCCCCACATATGGAGTTTACTGCATTAGGTCACAATAAAGTCATACTGTATTAAAGACAGTTTTCAATCCCCATTTAGTTCAAATGATGAAAAGGAGCTTGATTATGATATACATTTTTTTTTACTTTTAACTTGCTGCCTTGATTACTGGTTACAAACTGATTTGATGACTTCCTTTCTTCCTTACTTCATAGGGACCCTTACATACTTAATAGCTTGGTCACTTTCTTGCTCTTTTGCTTACTAACTTTCTCACTGACCTTCTTACTGTTCTTGATATGAATTCCCTCAAACTTTTTGGCGATACTCAGAAGTACTTTGGGTTTTGAACTGATAAGCCACCGTACCACTGTCTGTTATTCCCCATTTATTCTCCATCTAGTTTGCTGGCTGGCTCCTCTGGCCGCTGTCGGTCTGTCACTCACAATGACCCATTTTCCCAGAAGTGAAGGGGGAACTGTGCCAAGTGGCCCGCAGTGGCCCACAACCAGCTAATGATGTCACCTAGGCTGAAGGACTCTTCATTAAAGCCGGATCAATCTGGCGGCTGCAAAACACAGCTGAGAGAGCGTAGGGACGAGGTGTGTCCACCAATGAAGTCAGAAACGACAACGCACGTGTGTCAAGACTTGTGTTGTGAGCTGAGGTGTTCAGTACATCAATATGCCGACGACATCACTCTTAACAGACCGAATCTTTGGCAAACACAAACAAACAAACAAAGAGAGTCCTACATTTTTTTTCTTCTAATTTCCAAACTCTTCCCTCTTATAAAGGAAAAGGGATAACGTTGCTCCGGAAGTTCACTTTGACACAGTCATTCAACAGATGACACAATAAATAAGACGAGATGAGGAGCAGAGAAAAGACAATCCCAACACCAAAAGTCTTCTTCCCATCGTCCTTGGGTTGTTGTTCGGCTGCAAATGAAAGCGCTCAGTGGTGCTTCAACTCAGTTATTCTCTCAAGCCTCAGAAATTCCATTGTGGAGGATCCCGTTTTGCAACTCTAATAACGCCACATTCTGGTCTAGAGTGCATATGAGGCGACAGGACACAATTGCAAGGGTCAAAGGTTGCTAATACATTATGACAACCTTGGTCCTTGCGTCACATCTTCTTCAGTTCTGTTTTTTTTTTATCTTGAATGTCCTTGCACCAACCTGCAGAGATCAGTGTGCGAGAGTCAGAGATTACTGCCTCCCCGTGTGTCATTACTCAGCCCTCATCTGATCGCTCCTCTCCCCGTCTGAGAGTGCGACTCTGTGCTATTAATTTACTGTGAGGCAGTAATTCAGACTCCACTCATGTCTGTCCTTCAGCGATGTTTACCATCCATCCACCATTTAGTCAGGATATGGCAACGTTCTTTAATCTATTTATATTCTGGTGATTTTTCAAAGTTTTGATTGGGCTCTTCTTGCCAGTATTTCCGAACAATATTTCAGACAATGACTTGAAACAATGCAGCAACCGGAAGGCAAAACAGATCAATTATAGGCAAACATCAAGAGATAAGTTTGGACTTTGACTGTGCCGACCGTCTTTGGAAGGTTGTTCCAAGTTTGTTTGCAGCTTTACGACAAATGGCCTCTTCCAATATTTTGTGTTAAAGAAGGCCATTGTTGTTGGTTTGGTCAGAAATAATGGACGGTGTTCTGATTCAGTGCTTGTGAATGATTTCCCATTCTGCTTTGATTGAGTCATCAAGTTTTCCTCTTGTTTCACACGACTTGTATGCTAATATATGTC